TGCGGATGCATGCACTTGACCCAACGTCTACTGAACCGCTCGTCTAAGAAAAAGTCCATGTCATCCTCTCAGTTCCCTTCGTGGCGTCTGTCATCTTCACCCATCCGATGGCGTTTCTTCTTCGTTTGGCTTTTGTCTTGTTCGACTTCCCGCCCGAGACCGTTTCTCTCTACTCCGTACGCCTCGCGGCTTGATATCTAGATCCCGCTGGTCAATCTAGTCCCTCTCGTATCCACCCCATCGATATTTGGAGGAAATACGTTGGAGCGTCTCTGCACGGCTCACCGCTGTCGACTTGGTTGCATCTTCAAGAGAGAGACTCTAGCAAGGCCCAAGAGATCTATCATCGACTTGTCGCAGTGAAACAAATCTGATCAGAAGCGGTCGTCCGCTTTCGCAGCCAGTGCCAACCGGCATGCGCTCGCAGTGGCCATAATCTTGTCATCATTTGTCTCGCCGCGGTTGAATCGCCCACAACCATGTCTTCGACAACGAATCCGACCTCAAACGACGACGGAGCAATCAGGCTCGAGATGGACAAGTTCGACCGCCAAAGCTCCATCGAGAAATCGGCTCCTCCACATGCCCCAGAGCAACCTGACGCGGCGCGCTTCTCGCTCTCTGGCGCCGGTCATATCTCCCTCGACGACGTCGAAGCAGTTGATGTCCAGATACGCGATTTAGCTGTCACCGTCGACACTTCGCCTTCGTGGTGGGACCCTGCAACCTACCCCGAGCTGGCAAAGTCAAAATTCAACCCTGAACCAAGCTCCAAAAATCTGATTTACCACGTTAACGCTTCCCTGCAACCGGGCACACTGACAGCCATCATTGGCGGTAGCGGTTCCGGTAAGACAACGCTACTGAATACGCTATCGGAGCGCATGATCAGTGCGCGACTCGCCCAAAGTGGCCATATTACCTTCAACGGCAATGAGGGCATTCACAATGCGCGGCACGCCTATGTCATGCAGCAGGATATTCTCCTGCCCTCGCTGACTGTGCGCGAGACGCTGCAGTACTCCGCCGACCTGAGGTTGCCGCCTCCGACAACTGCCGAAGAGCGCGCTCGCATCGTGGAGGAGGTCATTCTAGAACTCGGTCTCAAAGAATGTTCCAACACAAGGATAGGAGATAGACAGCACCGGGGATGCTCTGGAGGTGAGAAGCGGAGAGTCAGCATTGGGGTTCAATTGCTAGCCAATCCGTCGGTTCTCTTTCTCGATGAACCGACCACTGGCTTAGATGCGACGAGTGCCTTTCAACTGATGCGCACGCTCAAGAAGCTGGCCACCAAGGGGCGAAACATTATCACCACCATCCACCAACCTCGGTCGGAAATATGGGATCTCTTCGACAACCTCATCATTCTTACCAAGGGAAGTCCGGTTTTCTCGGGCCCTGCAAAGAACTGCGTGCCATTCTTCGAGGGTCTGGGTTTCAAGCTGCCCCCTTTTGTGAACCCTGCGGAATTCGTCATCGACATCGCTGCCATAGACAATCGCACGCCCGAACTAGAACAGGACACAACGGAACGGGTCAATCAGCTGAAGCAAGCATGGATTCACGAAAGCGAAAAGATTTTTGCGCCAACAGACAAGGCGATTGAGAGCACATCGACTGGGAAAAGTCCGACCTCCAAGACCAACAAACACGCATCGTACACCAGACAACTACGAGTCCTGACCAACAGAACGTTCAAGGTCACGTACCGCGACCCAATGGGAATGCTGGCATCAACGACGGAAGCGATCCTCATGGCCCTCGTAACGGGCTACATTTTCTACAACCTACCAAGAGACCTCTCGGGTATCCGCTCTCGTCAAGGCGCGCTTTATACTGCGGCAGGCCTTCAGGGATACCTGACTCTCATGTTCGAGGTCTACCGACTCACCGTCGATATCCCAACCTACGATCGCGAGCATAGCGAGTCGTGCGTCGATGCGATCCCGTTTCTCTTCTCTCGTCGCTTGGCGCGACTGTTTACGGAAGATCTGCCCGTGCCGTTCCTGTTCTCCATCATCTTCTACTTCATGGGCGGCTTTGAACGAGATGCCAGCCAGTTCTTCATCTTCTTCGCCATCACAGTGCTGAATCACTATATTGCTGTGACGTGCGCAATCACATGTGTCACGGCGTCGAGAAACTTCCCTGGTGCAAGTCTGATTGCCAACATGGTGTTTACCCTGCAGAGCATGGCTTGTGGCATGTTCATTCAGGCGAACTCGATCCCAGTGTATGTGCGGTGGCTCAAATGGATCACGTACTCGGTAAGTTCAAACAACAGAGCTTCCGGCATGGCCTTGCTAACGTTATCCAGTTCTACACTTTTGGCGCCTATTGTGGTAACGAGTTTGAGGGTTCCTTTTACGACTGCCCGGTTGATGGCGGGGCCTCGAACCCAGAATGCGTGCAGTACACTGGCCGATTCGTAATGGAGTCTCTCGGGTTTCCGCAGAATTGGATATGGAGGCCGATTGTCGTGCTTGTTGCGTTTATCGTCTTCTTCTGCATCTTATCCGCCATCGGACTCCAGTACATTAAGCAAGAGATGACTATTGCTCGTGCTAGAGTCTCAGACACTGATTTATCAGCCGGCAAGGAGAAGATGAAGACGCATTCCATCTCCGAGATTCGCACCATTGACGTAGGGCTGGATGACTTTGCTCTAGCCTTGGACAAGAGGGCAGCTTCGGGCAAGACGCTTCCAACCAAGACGATCCTTAATCCTGTCAGCACAACATTCGAGGCAGGGAAGCTCAACGTCATCATGGGCCCCTCGGGAAGCGGTAAGACGTCCCTTCTCAATGCCATGTCTTTGCGACTTCCGAGCAGCCTCAGCACGCGCTATAGGCTGTCGGGAAAGCTCACCTTCAACAACGCACAACCGTCCAACTCGGTCATTCGATCGGTGTGTTCGTACGTCTGCCAGGATGACGACGCTCTCCTGCCGTCCCTCACAGTACGAGAGACGCTCCAGTTCTCGGCGGGGCTACGTCTTCCAGCCCACATGAGCAGCGACGAGAAATCCAAGCGTGCAGAGGAAGTCTTGCTGAAGATGGGTCTCAAGGACTGCGCGGACAACCTCGTGGGTAACGAGCTCGTCAAGGGCATCTCTGGAGGCGAAAAGCGACGAGTCACCATTGCCGTACAGCTACTCAGCGACCCGCTCGTGCTACTACTGGATGAGCCGACAAGCGGGCTGGACGCCTTCACGGCAAGCTCCATCATGGAGGTCCTGCAGGGTCTCGCCAACGAAGGCCGGACGCTGATCCTGACGATTCATCAGGCGCGATCTGATTTGTTCAAGCACTTTGGAAACGTCTTGCTGCTTGCCCGTGGAGGGTCGCCCGCGTATGCCGGATCGGCGACGGAGATGCTACCCTATTTTCAGCGTCAGGGGTTCAACTGTCCTGCTCACACTAACCCGGCCGACTTTGCGCTTGATCTCGTCACGATCAATCTACAACAAGAAACAAGAGAGGCCGAGAGCAGGGAAAAGGTTGAGGCTCTGATCGGCGCCTGGCAGAGACATGCAAAGATGCCTGCAGTCAAGACGACGGGTGAGCTGCCCAGCATCAACGAGAGCCAAGAACATGAAGCAATCACCCGCTCATCAACTGGGCCGGCCAACGTTGGACACCCTCGAAAAGCCTTGGCCTTCAACAAGGCAAACCTCGCGACCCCAGCCGAGCTAGGCGCTCTCGTCCGCAAACGTGCCTCTTTCTTCGTCGCCTTCCCCCTCCTCGTCCACCGCGGCCTCATTAACTTCCGCCGCCAACCGCCGCTCCTCCTCGCACGCATCATGCAGGTCGTGGGCCTAGGCATCGTCCTCGCCCTCTTCTTCGCGCCGCTCAAGAACGACTATTACTCTGTGCAGAACCGCATGGGCTTCGTGCAGGAAATTGGCGCCTTTTACTTTGTGGGTATGCTGCAAAACGTCGCCGTCTACCCCGCCGAGCGCGACGTGTTTTACCGCGAGGACGACGACGGGGTGTACAGCGTTGAGGCCTTCTTAGCGGCGTACTCTGTGCTCGAGTTCCCCTTTGAGATTATCAGCTGCCTCATCTTTGGCGTGCTCGCGGATTTGGCGGTAGGGTTCCCGCGAACGGTGACAATGTACTTCGTCTGCGTATTTTCGTGCTTTGGCATCGTTTCGTGCGGTGAGTCGGTGGGCATCATGTTCAACACGCTCTTCAACCACACGGGGTTCGCCGTGAACCTCACGTCGGTGATCTTGTCTGTTGCCAACACAATGGCGGGTGTTCTCTCCATCGATATGCCGGAGCTGTTCAAGATCTTCAACTACCTCTCGCCCATCAGGTACGGGACGCGGGCTCTGGCGCCATACAGCCTTAGGTCGGTTACGTTCACGTGCGAGGACGGGCAGAGGCTGCCGGATGGACGGTGTCCGGTGGAAACCGGCGAGGACGTGCTCGAATTATACAAGTTCAACGTGGATCCGAACGTCAATATTGCGGCATTGGCTGGGTGTGTGATTGTGTATCGGCTCGTCGCGTGGGCTCTATTAAGAGCTGCGCGGACGCGAATGGAGGGGCGTAAGAAGGAGAAATGAGCGACTTGCATAGATACCACTAGTCTTTACGTCTATAATGATTGATTTGCTGAAGAATCTCAGCTTCGGCTTGGTGATGCCGTCGCTGTATCCTTATCCGTGATGCCGTACAGTTTGGTGAGGTTTAACTCAACGGTCGAGTCCCACATAACATCCCAATTCAAATTGATAAAGCTCCGATACAGGGGGCCGCAACGAATGGAAGCTATCCTGGATTCAGCCAAAGAGCCGAGCAGAGCTTGACCTCCAGCTTTATCAAATAGCCGAGGAGAAGCTGCAAGGAAGGCGATCCCACTGCCCGGTCAGCAACATCCCGGCCCGGTGGGTGTGTGAAGCCAGCCGATTGAAGCCGATGAGGTCCCAATCCGGAAGCTGCGCAACGCTTTTGAGCCCCGCATGAGGAGTTGAAGATTCGATGACTTGGAGATGGGCGGGCTGGAATTCCCGATATCGTTATCAACCTGAGGTGAGGTATCCGCACCGTCATGCCATCCATCGCCAGATGCGATAACGGCGCCGAAGGATCGGAGCTTTAGAGGCATTTCGGATGAAACGGCGGGGAAATCGGGGGGAGACCATTGATTGACACGCCGTGCACTCATTCGTCTCATTTGTCATACTCATGGGTTAGCACACCACCGATGGACCCCGTCGCGTCTTCTTCCATGACTTCACCTCTTCATTCTCAACCTCACTCTCTCATCTTGACTCTCAACTCTCACTCACTCACATCAACTCCTAACACCCCGCGCGACCAAAGCTCTGCACACAAGTGAGCAGCAAATAGGATTGGCACATCACACAGCGTTGTCTCAATTGAGTGTTCACACATTCCCGTTGAGAGTCGCCATGTCGGAGAAGCTCCCCTTCGCACACCCGGCGCCCGAGCTCACAGCTCCGGAGCCACGCCGCCGCCGGACCGCGTGGTGGTCCCTCATCCCCGCCGCCCTCCTCCTCGCCTACCTGCACAAGCCGTCCGCCTCGGCCATCCCGTTCCTCGGCCACGGTCATCACCGCGGCGCTTCCCCCGCCGCCAACGCCTGCCGCCAGGTCGACCCCCTCTTCCCGACCCAGAACTCGTCTGGCCTCACCCAGCTGGACTCATACCTCGACAGCCCCAAGTTCCGCAACGAGACGGTCGCCCGTCTCTCGGGTGCCGTCCAGATCCCCACCGAGTCCTTTGACAACTACGGCCCCGTCGGCGCCGACGACCGCTGGGATAAGCTTCTCCCCTTCTCCGCCTACCTCGCAAAGACCTTCCCCAAGGTCCACGACACCCTCCGCCTCGAGCGCGTCAACACCCACGGCCTGCTCTACACGTGGAAGGGCTCCGATGACAGCCTTAAGCCCACCGTCCTCATGGCCCACCAGGACACCGTCCCCGTGGCGCCCACCACCATCGACAGCTGGACGCACCCGCCCTGGAGCGGTGCCTACGACGGGACCTACGTCTGGGGCCGCGGCGCCATGGACTGCAAGAACTCCCTCATCGGCATCCTCGAGTCCGTCGAGCTACTGATCGACGCCGGCTTCTCCCCCAAACGAACCGTCGTCCTGTCCTTTGGCTTCGACGAGGAGGTCTCCGGAGAGCGCGGCGCGGGACACCTCGCACCGTTCCTGCTAGAACGCTACGGCAAGGATGGCGCCGCCATCATCGTCGATGAAGGATCCGGTTTCGACTCTCAATGGGGCCAGACCTTTGCCATCCCCGGCACGGCCGAGAAGGGCTACATCGATGTCGAGGTCATCGTCCGCACCCCCGGCGGCCACAGCTCCATTCCGCCCGAGCACACCGGCATCGGCATCCTCTCCGAGCTCATCACGCACATCGAGGCGAACCTCTACGCCCCCGAGCTCATCTCCGGAAACCCATACCTCGAGAAGCTCCAGTGCGGCGCCTCGTACGCGCCAGACTTCCCCGACAACCTGCGCAGACTCCTCCCCGCCGACACCAGCAAGCAGATGTGCAAGAAGAAGACGGACCGCCTGGCAAAGGAGGCCGCCAAGGCTGGCCCGCAGGTCAAGTACCTTTTCACCACCTCCGTGGCGACCGACATCATCGAAGGCGGCGTCAAGATCAACGCCCTTCCGGAGCGCGTCCGCGCCGTCGTCAACCACCGCGTCAACGTCGGCGACAAGACGTCTAGCGTGCAGGAGAAGCTCGCGGCCATCGTCCGCCCCGTCGCGGAGAAGTACAACCTCACCCTTCACGCTTTCGACGACGAGGCCGAGACGCCGTCGAGCATCACGCTCAAGGGCAACGATAAAGTGCTCGAGCCCGCGCCCGTGACACCGACGTCGGTGGAGGGCGTGACGCCGTACGGAATTCTGTCGGGCACCACGCGCGCCCTGTACGGCGAGGAGATTGTTGTTTCGCCGGGTATCATGACGGGTAACACGGATACCCGGTACTACTGGGATCTCACCCAGCACATCTTCCGCTTCCTTCCCGGATATGATCCTGAGAGCGATGAGTGGGCTGGTGTTCATACCGTTGATGAGAAGACGAGCGTCAAGGGCCACGTTAACCTCGTCAAGTGGTACACCATCTTTTTGAGAAACATTGACGAGGCCGAGTTTGCTTGAGCTTTGTTGTACGGACAGGAGGAGTGACAAAGGTGAATCTGGCAGGTGATTCGTAGTCAATAGGCACAAGAATTGTAGGTGTTGAAAGATGTATAAAGAATATGAAATTGTCAGAAACATCACGGTATGCCTCATGTGCTAGACTAATAGCATTTCCTTCTCCGCGACAGAGTGAATCACCGATTATGAATAGATTACCGTAGGCCCGTTGCGTATTCGGGAGAAGGTGCGATCGATGGGGCGGTGGGAAGCCCCTATAGGGATCAGGAGTGCAATTCTTCCTCCAAGGAAGCATCGCCCGTTGTAGACGACGGCCGAACGGTATGATTGTGCCTTTACCACTCTATCCTTAGAGTGCCTAGATGGGCAGCCTTGAGTGGCAAGCAGTACCACAGTGACGCCATAGCGGGCAGGTTCCCTTTTTGTACATTTTGTTTACTAGTGATCATGGTGACGGAACCATGCAACTCTCAGGATCCATCATCCTCATGACACTCCCAGGTACCAACTGCTACTACCTACTACTACTTCACGAATCGAGTCTTGAGATCGAGAGGTCGCGAGTTCGAGCCGACCCTCGTATCCGATTTTTCCCCGTCGATCTCTTTCTTCTCTCCAATACATCTATTCCAGGTAGTCGGGGTGAGTTTGAGCTTGGGACAGACACTCTTGACATGCGTTTGATTGAGAACGTTTTTTGGTAGATCTTTGACTTATAGATGCTTTCATCTCCCTTCGTATTTTTGCATTATTGGTGACAGAACCAAGCTACCAAGAGGATTCCTAGAATATATGTAAGAAATCATGATTCATGGATGACATACTTTATATCGTTGCGATCAGCCTATCTCTCCCCTCCTCTCCCAATAGGACTGCCAGATGCCCAATTTACGATCGAAACGCATCATCCGTGCTAAAAAGTAGAAATGTCATGCATATGCAACTTTCAAAGTTCGCACTTCTCCTCGAGACAGTTAGATGCACGATGATACATCTGACCATTGGCCATCATTTTCCGTTTCTTGGTCGGAATACTACCCCTTTCCCTGAGTGCGGAACGAAATTTCAACTGCCTGACCTACAGTTTAGATCGCTAAGCTCCCCCTTCCGGGACTCTAAAGGATTAGACACACGACTTAAGTGGCCCACACGCTCGCTGCAAAATCAGCCTGCACCCTGGAAGGCGCATTTTTGCGAAATACTCTCGAGCTCTCTACGAGTTGAACCTACGGTTGTTGTTTACATACGCCTCTGGGATCTCGAAGCCCAGCTCGCAAACTCTCGTGTGTCTCGCTCCTTTGGTTCATTAGGGAATGAGTTGCAGGTTTTCGTATGGCAAACAAGTTCCATAAAAAAGCAACAGACTCATAGCTGACTACAAGTTGGCAAAGTATTTCCTAAGAGGTCTCCAAAAGGAGGTCTTGTCAATTTGGTGTTCATTACATGCACCGGGGCGCGCAATTTCATAATCGACAAAATGCCCAAGACGGAGTTCAGATGCATTAAGGGAAACAATACGTAACTCAGACATCCAGCAAGACCTAGAATTCAAAGGCCAGTCTATTGGTCATCCCTTGAAGTGCCTTCTGCATGTAGTGGTGCGATACAAGATGAGTTTTCGTGGCTTCAATCCACTCTAAACGAACTCAGGTTCACATTGCCCAGGACGTCGGCATCACGAACGGAAAGATACAACAGACCTCTATCAATGTCAGATGTGCAGTCCAAGACAGAATGCTGCGAGAGGTCTCTGCAAGTTTTCGAGCGTTTTGAGTTGCCCTTTTGAGGACGACAACCGCCGGTACAATAGAACTGAACCCCAGCATTCAAGCCTTTGACTTAATGCCGATGACAGCAGTGCAGATCGAGAGTCATGAGAAGAGGATACTGCAGGACCACGCGAGTACTCTCGGGCTGTTGATTTCGCGTGATGTAGTGGAAGCAACATATCAATCACATATCCCTGGCTCCTTTGACACATTTTTTCTCCCTACTTCGGGCCAACAAAGAACGGCAAGTGGTATGATATTCGAGAAAAAAAAGAGCTTCGCACCTTCGTCAAATGAAGCGTAGCTGGAGTCTGGGCTTAGCCGCATAGCTTGAGAAAGGGGATTTGTTGAGGCGTTGTCTCGAAACACCATACCATCAAAAAGTCAAGACAATGATGCATCACACTATTCTTTGCTCGAAAAGCAAATAACACGCCGAGCCCGCACTCTGGACAATTTTGTCTGTGCATCCAAAACCCACAGTTGGCAAGATCCAAGCAGAAATAACCTTTCAGATTACTGTCTTGGGTTCTTTTGGCGCCTACAACGAGGCGTGCCCGGAAACACAGGTAACGTTACGGGTCTTACACGAGAACGAGGAATCATGGATGCATACTTGAGATATCAAATCACCATAATTCGCCTCTCCCAAAGGGGAAGGGATATTTTGAGAGCTTGTTGAGTCATCCGAACTGCGTATCAGGCGCCAAAAAATGAACTGCTTCAGCTCGAACCATTGAACTCTGATAAACCTTGTGTCTCAAAGCACGCGAAAGGACGCCGGTGCTGCACCGCCCCCTGATTTACTCTGGAAAGCAAGCGATGCCTACATCTTTGAGCAAGCACACCTCTATGTTTAGGCAAAGATAAGCAAGATATCCGATACACTGTCTGGACAGACAAACCCCGGTGATCACCAGTCTTTGGGTCTCACATGTCGAACCTCGGACTAGCTGGCAGCCTGTAAAACCGGGAACCTGAAGGGGGAGGGAACTCTTGATCATGGGCTGGCATATGCTTGGTCGTGTGGTTGTCTAGCAAAGCCAATGGGTGGTGTCTCTTGCTCTCCGTCGCTGCTTGATCGTCTGTGATCCGTTAATTAGTTTCGTCCCGCTAATGGGAGAGACATTGCTAGTGGAAAGTGACGAGGTGAATGGAACGCCTGGAATGGCGCGCTGAAGAACTGGTTCGTCTGCAGGGGTGGCACTGGGCGGTTCCATTCAATACATTGGTATCAGACTTCGTTCATCATTCTGTGAGGTCAGTCGACCAAAGATTTGAGAAGCGAGAAGCTGGTGGATACCGAGATGTCGGTCATCCCAATTAGATCCTGTAGACTGCGGGAGATCTCCGTACGCTGCGAGATTCAGACGGGGCGAGGTGAGATATCTGGGCAGAAATCCACTTCGGAAACGAGGACTTCCAGCCACTCTCCAAGAATGTTTCTGCATGTCACTAAAGACAAATAGACTGGTAATGATGACGGGCAGCGATGCGGTGAGGCCAGGTTCCGAACCAGATTTAGGCACCTGGGAACTTGCGGATGACTAGTTTGCGTAGACACCACTCTCGTGAACGAGCTAGATCTGACCTAGACAAGGTTAGTGGCGAAGAGGCGTGCTCGGGCTTGCCTGTCTCTGCCCAAAGGTGGAACTCTGGAGAAACAAATATGAGGCCCTCACCGCACTTCTCTGAACGTTTCAATGGCAAAACAATGGCCGAAAACCGTGTTGCGGCCCAGAGTACGGTGGTTCGGAGCGTAGTCGGACGTTCATATCGTGACAGTTGGTGAGCTTTGGCGGGGTAAACGTGGTCGAGGCGCTGTCAAATGCAAGGAACTCCCCTTCCCCGAAGACCTGGAATTGGCATGTTCCCTACAATGCGTCGACGTGTTTGGGTTTCCGGGTCTAGGCTGCTTGGACGTTGGACACCGCCTTTTCCCGCTGGGTCAGTCCTGTGAAAGGTGTCGGCCGTTAGAAACACCTTTCAGATCTAGACGAACAAGGCGCCCTGCGTTTGTTTCTTTATGTCCGAGGATAGGGCACTAGTTGTCGATCTAACAAGGCTGTGCGATGTAGGTTGAACACTGGAATGCGAGCATTCAAGCGTTGATGGAGGTGGTTGGCCAGCAGGCAATCGATTGCATTCTGTGGGGGGCCAGCTGACTTCAAAGCTATCCCTGTCGTCTGGCGCCTTGCGACTGTGAATCGCCTCTGACGCGGTCTAGATGCTGGCTGAGTGGGAAGTAGGAAGAAACAAGATTCCGTTGTCCAGGGATGGCTGTATACTCGGCGATGATCATGCAAGAGCTGGAGCACTTGTCTAGACGGTCGGGATGCGAATAGGCAGTTTTTGCTGCCTTGAGGATGTCATCCAGCGCCAGCTGGAGAAGAAGGCTGGTTCGCGCCAAACAGAAGTTTGCTACTCTGTGTGTTTGGGCCTGGCTCGAGGCTGGTTTCAATCTCGGTGTTAACGGCAGCTCGCGAGCCCTAACAAGATAGATCGGACGGTCTTGCCGCTAGATTGGCATCTGTCGCCCCGACGGAACGCTTGCCCAGGAACGTGGTGCGCGCGATCTGGCGGTGTGATGTCGCATCCGAACTTTGAGGCACTGGCCGTCTTGAGATCCCTTTCGCTCCCGCAAGCGCATCGCCCCCAGTTGTGTGGGTAAAATGAACCACTGCGCAAGCACGCAAGCAATCTGTATCCGTACGAGGTATCCGTACGGGCACTGGATGCGTGGGAGAGGGTTGATGACGAGCAGCAGAACAGCATAGCTGACGCGGTGCATGAGAGGCCCGGAGACATGGACATGCTGGCACGCAGGCATCTAGCTTGTTAGCTGCAAAACGCTTCGAGCGTGGGGCTATGGTCAATCTCCCGCAACTTATTGACTTGGTACTGTCACTGCTGCCAGCGTCAGCCTACATTGCAGTGCATTCAGTTGATATCCAGAGGTGACGCGCCTTGATCAAATGATCTAGCAATCGCTTCAGGCTTGAGTAGCAGCAAGCATGAGCTCGACGGGAGCAAGTGAGGCAATCGTCAAGAGTACTCACTCTGTCTGTCTCTGATGAATCATCCACTTGTTGGGCCCCCTTGCGAAAATCCCCGAGTCTGCAGCGGGCATCTCTCTGCAGCGGCATGGATGGTCTCAGGTTGCTCTCCAACAAGGACCCCTTTCGGTTGAGGATGGAGACGCACGAAGGGCCAGCGGACGAACCAGAGCAAGATGCCTGCCGGGCATCAAGGACACAGAAGCAACAAGCCCCCCCACAGCCTTAGTGCCATAACCACAG